CAAAAATAAAAACTGACCTCCGGGAGAAAGCCGTAGCAGATAGGTAGACAAGAAATGCCCTGACCCATCCAAGGAGTGCAACGCAACTTCTTAGAATGCGATGGCCATGGAGACATTGGAGGTAGGACAATGCCCTCACTCAGATGAAAATCCGGCACCACCTTCGGAAGAAAGGAAGGACATGGACAGAGAACCACCTTGACCTTGTGTACTCCCAACTTTGGAGACAAACAAGACAAGGCCGCCAGCTCCAATACCCGCTGTGTGGAAGGAATGGTAAGCAAGAAGGTAACTTTTTGATAAAGAGTAAGCAGGGGAATATCCCAAATATTCTCTAAAGGAGGCATCTGGAGGACAGAAAGAACCAAAATCAAGTCCCACGGCGACAACAGGGAACACACGGAGGCACCATATGACAAACCCCTTTGTACAAAGATGCAAATCTGGGAGTGTATGGCCAAAGAATGCTGAAAAAAAGACAGCGAGTGCAGAAACCAGACCCGTAATGGTACTCAAAGCAGGCTTTTGTTCAAGTTGGAGAAAGGCCACCCCCAAACCACTGAGAAGGAACATGGATGGACACCCAGAGCCTCACACCAAGCAAAATAAACCTACCAGGAGCGATGATACAACTCCCAAGAGGTAGACTTGTGAGCCTTCAACAAAGTAGGGATCACTGAGTCTGACAACCTTCTGCCCTGCAAACCCGGCTTTCATTAGCCATGCCGTCAAGTAGGGTGGCAGACCAGGCCCTGGGACACTAGGTCCTCCCGAAGAGGTAACTGCCAGGGAGCATCTGCAGCCAGCTGCCCATGTTGGCGTACCTTGGACGACAAGGCCAATTCAGGACCACCAGTATGACCAGAATCCCCTTGGCCTCTATCTTGGGCAGCAGGCAAGGGAGCAACTTGAGAGGAGGAAATACGTAATGAGGTGATACTGAACTACTGGTGCATGAAGTAGAGTTCCTGGGGCACGTCATTCAAACCTATTAATGCGATAAGCATTACAATCGTAGGATACAACATACCGGCACATGGGCTTTAATTCCAAGTCTTCGTTCTACTCGACCTACTATGTTTATTGGTAGTACCCCAAATGGTATTTGAACCCAAGACCCCAGCTCTGCAAAGCACGAGTCTGATCAGTTTCCTCAGAAGGTTGCAGCAATCTGGAAGTGCGAGTTGCTGGTCAGGCAGGACAGGAGGCGGCCCTCTCAGGATACGTCAGGCTGATAGCAGTGAGTCAGCCATGTTTACAAACACCTGACGGGCTGACTAATCACCACCGAGCTGAATACACCCCTCCAGCTGCCCGCACCGCGCACCCTCCTTCACAATCAAAATCTACTTCTCTATTGGCTGATTTTCTCTTTTGTCCTCCATAAATAAAGTGTGCTCAGCTGAGGCCTCATGCACACGAGTCGTCAAAAACAACATCTGGGCAGCCGCACCACCCGCACAGGGAAACGCGGACCCGCGGGCAGGGGGGTCATTAGTTCTAAGGCTAGGTTCACATGTGTGGGTGGTGCCGCTGCGGGTCCGCACGAAAATCCGTGCAGCCGCACAGAGAAACGCGGACCCGCAGGCGGGGGGGCATTAGTTCTAAGGCTAGGTTCACATGTGGGGGTGGTGCAGCTGCGGATCCGCACGAAAATCCGTGCAGCCGCACAGAGAAACGCGGACCCGCTGGCGGGGGGGGGTATTAGTTCTAAGGCTAGTTTCACGTGTAGGTGGTGCAGCTGCGGATCCGCATGAAAATCCGTGCAGCCGCACAGAGGAATATGGACCCGCTGGGGTGGGGGGGGGGGGGGGCATTAGTTCTAAGGCTAGGTTCACATGTGTGGGCGGTGCAGCTGCGGATCCGCACGAAAATCCGTGCAGCCGCACAGAGAAACGCGGACCCGCTGGGGGGGGGGGGGGGGGGGGTATTAGTTCTAAGGCTAGTTTCACGTGTAGGTGGTGCAGCTGCGGATCCGCATGAAAATCCGTGCAGCCGCACAGAGGAATGTGGACCCGCTGGCGGGGGGGGGCATTAGTTCTAAGGCTAGGTTCACATGTGTGGGGCGGTGCAGCTGCGGATCCGCACGAAAATCTGTGCAGCCACACAGAGAACCGCGGGCAGGGGGGGCCATTAGTTCTAAGGCTAGGTTCACATGTGGGGGTGGTGCAGCTGCGGATCCGCACGAAAATCCGTGCAGCCGCACAGAGAAACGCGGACCCGCTGGCGGGGGGGGGGGTATTAGTTCTAAGGCTAGTTTCACGTGTAGGTGGTGCAGCTGCGGATCCGCATGAAAATCCGTGCAGCCGCACAGAGGAATATGGACCCGCTGGCGGGGGGGGGGGGGGGGGCATTAGTTCTAAGGCTAGGTTCACATGTGTGGGCGGTGCAGCTGCGGATCCGCACGAAAATCCGTGCAGCCGCACAGAGAAACGCGGACCCGCTGGCGGGGGGGGGGGGGGGGGGGGTATTAGTTCTAAGGCTAGTTTCACGTGTAGGTGGTGCAGCTGCGGATCCGCATGAAAATCCGTGCAGCCGCACAGAGGAATGTGGACCCGCTGGCGGGGGGGGGCATTAGTTCTAAGGCTAGGTTCACATGTGTGTGGGCGGTGCAGCTGCGGATCCGCACGAAAATCTGTGCAGCCACACAGAGAACCGCGGGCAGGGGGGGCCATTAGTTCTAAGGCTAGGTTCACATGTGGGGGTGGTGCAGCTGCGGATCCGCACGAAAATCCGTGCAGCCACACAGAGGAATGTGGACCCTCCGGCGGGGGGGGGGCCATTACTTCTAATGGCACGCCACCTGTACTGGAAAACGCAACCGTACTGGGAACCTCGGCTGCGTTTTCCAAAGAAGTGCCGGGACTTCTTCCCTGCATGTTCGGGGGGCACCGGAATCCATTCAAATGAATGGGCTCTCGTTCCTGAGCAAAATGCGGCCCGCGCGGCTGTTGCATAGGTGTGAACTGGGGGTTAAGGGCATTTGACATTTTTTTTTTCCCTGCTTCTTCTAATTGCCCCTCTATGTTCACTGACGTGTCCTTGAACACACAGGCATTAGTCCTCCCGCACACGGAACGTTTGTACAGCGGCTGGTTTTGGTTTTTGACGGGTTTTTTTCAGCCAGTAACCCCCCCAGCATGTTCTCCTCGGTGTCCATACACACACAGACTGGAATCAACGGTTTTTGGCTGGAAAAAAAACCCTAGAACTAGCGGGCTTCTGGAGGAGTTTTTTAGCTGGAAAAACGTTCTAACGCTGAAAATGCAGTAAAACACTACAAACTGGCATTTTTTGACTTTTTTTTGACCAAAAAAAAATATTTTTGTTGGTAAAAAAAAAAAAAAAAACAGCTAAAACCGCAAATGCGGAAAAACGCCACTAAATGCAAAAACACTAAAAAAAAGCTGAAAAACTGAAATTTTTAATGTGAATTTACACAGCTAATGTTACCAGCGTTATCACAACGTCCCGGACTTAAAGAGGAACTCCATCCATAAGGGGAAGTTCCGCTTTAAGGACTGCTCCACCGCTCCCCATTAAGGATTGGCACCTTTGAGGTGCGAGGGGGAGCGGGTACCCGAATTTGACAGGTACCAGGCTCCCACTTCTGGTCCGATGGACAGGTCCCAGAAGACTACAGGACCATTCACAAGGCGCAGCGATACTCGCACATGCGCAGTGGGCACCCGGGTGTGAAGCCGGAAGCTGTCACAGCCGGGTACCCACACTGAAGATGCCGGCCTCCTGGAATTCAGGACGGCTGGTAAAATGGGCTGCGGGGGACCCACCACGGGACTGAGGGACAGGTAAGTGGCTGTTTTTTAAAAGTCAGCAGCTACAGTTTTTGTAGCTGCTGAGTTTTATTTTTTTGACAGGTGAGTGGAACTCCAACGCGCTCAGAAAAGGAGCATTTCGACGGAAAAAAATGTCTGACGCATCTAAACACGCGTGAGCGCGCTTAAAGAGTTCCGGCCCCCTTCCCGAAAATTAAAAGTCAGTAGGAATACTGCAGCTGCTGACCTTTAATATTGGGGCACTTACCTGAGGAGTTATACAAATATCAAAATACCTTGATGGGTAGATTGACAAATAAACTGCTCCGGGTCGGTCCCGCCTACTTTCAGCCCCCAATCCGCACGGGTTGTGCCAGTTTGATTCGCAGCCGAATAGAGAGTCGATGAATGCACGCTGATGGGATGGAAAGCCCAGTCACTCCGTCTTCAAAATATTTATTTCAGGTACTTATACAGCGCCGTCAGTTTACGCATCGATTTACATATATATTGTACATTCACATCAGTCCCCGCCCCCGAGGAGCGTACAATCTAAGGTCCCTAACTTACATTCATACATACACATAGTAGGGCCAATGTAGACAGGAGCCAATTCACCTACCAGCATGTCTTTGGAGGGTGGGGGGAAACCGGAGTACCCGGAGGAAACCCATACAGGCACAGGGAGAACATGCAAACTCCAGGCAGGTGGTGCTGTGGTTGGGATTCGAACCAACGACCCGAGTACTGCCAGGCGGAAGTGCTAACCACTTAGCCACTGTGCTGCCACCATATTATATACAGGAAAGACTGGGTAGTTAACGCGTTTCATAACCTCTGCAGAGTGCGTTACCTACCCTGTCTTTCCTGTATATATTATATCTTGAAGGTCATCCAATGCTTCTTGTATCTTGATGGGTGGAGGTCAGTCTGGAGGAGTGGTCTTTCCATGATTGAAAGAACTGATATCCAATGAATGAAAGGGGTCAGTCAGGCTGAGGAGGAAAATGCTAGATGATGCTGGGCGTCCTCTAGCCAGGAAATGAGGCGGAGCTCTGTTTTTACTTGCTGCAGCTTTTAATGCACATTGTGAAAAGTTCACAGTGTGCAGTGACATCAGAGGAAGCCATTCCAGGAGAGGTTCCGGTACACCTGTGCAAGACTGAAGGGGAGCAGCGGCAACACCTGTGCAAGACTGAAGGGGAGGAGCCAGTACACCTGCGCAAGACTGAAGGGGAGGAGCCGGTACACCTGTGCAAGACTGAAGGGGAGGAGGCGGTACACCTGTGCAAGACCGAAGGGGAGGAGCTGGTACACCTGTGGGAGACTGAAGGGGAGGAGCCAGTACACCTGTGCAAGACTGAAGGGGAGGAGCTGGTACACCTGTGCAAGACTGAAGGGGAGGAGCCAGTACACCTGTGCAAGACTGAAGGGGAGGAGCTGGTACACCTGTGCAAGACTGAAGGGGAGGAGCCGGTACACCTGTGCAAGACTGAAGGGGAGGAGCCGGTACACCTGTGCAAGACTGGAGGGGAGGAGCCGGTACACCTGTGCAAGACTGGAGGGGAGGAGCCAGTACACCTGTGCAAGACTGGAGGGGAGGAGCCGGTACACCTGTGCAAGACTGAAGGGGAGAGGCGGCACACCTGTGCAAGACTGAAGGGGAGGAGCCAGTACACCTGCGCAAGACTGAAGGGGAGGATCCGGTACACCTGTGCAAGACCGAAGGGGAGGAGCTGGTACACCTGTGTGAGACTGAAGGGGAGGAGCCAGTACACCTGTGCAAGACTGAAGGGGAGGAGCTGGTACACCTGTGCAAGACTGAAGGGGAGGAGCCAGTACACCTGTGCAAGACTGAAGGGGAGGAGCTGGTACACCTGTGCAAGACTGAAGGGGAGGAGCCGGTACACCTGTGCAAGACTGAAGGGGAGGAGCCGGTACACCTGTGCAAGACTGGAGGGGAGGAGCCAGTACACCTGTGCAAGACTGGAGGGGAGGAGCCTATACACCTGTGCAAGACTGAAGGGGAGGAGGCGGTACACCTGTGCAAGACCGAAGGGGAGGAGCTGGTACACCTGTGTAAGACTGAAGGGGAGGAGCCTGTACACCTGTGCAAGACTGAAGGGGAGGAGCCGGTACACCTTTGCAAGACTGAAGGGGAGGAGCCGGTACACCTTTGCAAGACTGAAGGGGAGGAGCCGGTACACCTGTGCAAGACTGAAGGGGAGGAGCCGGTACACCTGTGCAAGACTTTAGGGGAGGAGCCGGAACACCTGTGCAAGACTGAAGAGGAGGAGCCAGTACACCTGTGCAAGACTTGAGGGGAGGAGCCGGTACACCTGTGCAAGACTGAAGGGGAGGAGCCGGTACACCTGTGCAAGACTGAAGGGGAGGAGCCGGTACACCTGTGCAAGACTGAAGGGGAGGCCAGAGGGAGAATTTAATTTTACTTTCTTCACTGATTCATATGTATTTTGCCAAAATGTTGAAATTGCATCAAATTCTCCCAATTTTTACCTAGTTTTCGAGTAAAAATAAAACCCGTCATCCCTGGGAGTGAAATATGTTTTCTGTAATTTGGATCGGTAAATGACAAAATACTGCTTACATGTGCTCTTATGATAACACTGTGATGTGGAATATCTGCCAGCCGTGTTAACCAATCACCTGTCATTTCAGTGCTCTGGGCGGTCGGGTCCTCGGCTCTTCACATCCCAGCGTTTCCCAGCGGGGGCTGTCTCATAGACTACGTTCCTCAGGTCTGCCAGCTGCTGAACAACAAGGTACGCTGATCTCCGTCAATGATATTCCTCCGTCAGGGAATTCCATGTCAGTGATTCTCAGATCTGTGATCTGTGTGATGAACCAATCGGAACATTCCCTGTAGATGCAAATGATGAGTTATTAATAATATGAAGGATATATAGAGCCAGAGGTATGCAGAGAGCTGTACAATATAAAGGGAGACAGTACAGTGACAATCCAATCCAATGCAAGATGGTTGGGGGGGGGGGGCTTGTCCTGAGAGCTTACAATCTAATAGGAGGGGGCAAGTGATACAAAAGGTAATAACTGTGAGGGATGAGCTGGTGGGATAAGCTTTCCTGAGGAGATGAGCTTTCAGGGATCTCCTAAAGGTGGATAGAGTAGGAGATAGCCAGACAGATTGGGGTAGGGAGTTCCACAAGATGGAGAGAGGTTCTGGAGAAGTCCTGGAGGCAGGCAAGGGAGGAGATGACAAGGGAGCTAGAGAGCAGGAGGTCTTGGGTGGAGTGGGGAGGATGGTTTGGGTGATATTTGGAGACAAAGTTGGTGATGTAGCTCGGGGCAGAGGCTGTGGTTAGTATTTTGAATTTTATTTGTTGGGCTATTGGAAACTTTTGGAGGAATTGAGAGAAATGGGTGGAGGACACTTAATGGAGGCCAGTGGAGAGATTGGCAGAGAGGGGTGGAGGACACTTAATGGAGGCCAGTGGAGAGATTGGCAGAGAGGGGTGGAGGACACTTAATGGAGGCCAGTGGAGAGATTGGCAGAGAGGGGTGGAGGACACTGAATGGGGGCCGGTGGAGAGATTGGCAGAGAGGGGTGGACACTTAATGGGGGCCGGTGGAGAGATTGGCAGACAGGGGTGGAGGACACTGAATGGGGGCCGGTGGAGAGATTGGCAGACAGGGGTGGAAGACACTGAATGGGGGCCGGTGGAGAGATTGGCAGAGAGGGGTGAAGGACACTGAATGTAGGTCAGTTGAGGGGTGGAGGACACTGAGTGGAGGTCAGTGGAGGGATTGGCAGAGAGGGGTGGAGGACACTGAGTGGAGGTCAGTGGAGGGATTGGCAGAGAGGGGTGGAGGACACTGAGTAGAGGTCAGTGGAGGGATTGGCAGAGAGGGGTGGAGGACACTGAGTGGAGGCCAGTGGAGGGATTGGCAGAGAGGGGTGGAGGCCAGTGGAGGGATTAGCAGAGAGGGGTGGAGGACACTGAATGGAGGCCAATAGAAGGATTGGCAGAGAGGGGTGGAGGGCACTGAATGGAAGCCACTGGAGGGATTGGCAGGAAAAGGGGTGGAGGACACTGAATGGAAGCTGGAGGACGGATTAACAGAGAGAATTGAAAACTGGAGGACACTGAATGGAGACCAGTGGAGGGATTGGCAGAGAGGGTGAGAAACAGTGAATGGAAGCCAGTGGAGATATTGGTAGAGAGAGGGAAGGCTAGTTAAGGGGTGGAGGACACTGAATGGAGGCCAATAGAGGGATTGGCAGAGAGGGGTGGAGGACACTGAATGGAGGTCAGTGGAGGGATTGGCAGAGAGGGGTGGGGGACACTGAATAGAGGCTAGTGGAGGGATTGCAGAGAGGGGTGGAGGACACTGAATAGAGCTAGTGGAGGGATTGGCAGAGAGGGGTGGAGGACATTGAATGGAGGCCAGTGGAGGGATTGGCAGAGAGGGGTGGAGGACACTGAATGGTGCCAGTGCTAGGGATTGGCAGAGAGGGGTGGAGGACACTGAATGGAGGCCAATAGAGGGATTGGGCAGAGAGGGGTGGAGGACACTGAATAGAGGCTAGTGGAGGGATTGGCAGAGAGGGGTGGAGGACATTGAATGGAGGCCAGTGGAGGGATTGGCAGAGAGGGGTGGAGGACACTGAATGGAGGCCAGTGGAGGGATTGGCAGAGAGGGGTGGAAAGCAGATGAAGGCATCTCTGTGGGAGGTAATAATACCTGGAAGGGTCACACATTGCTCGGCATTCATGTTCAGGTATATCTGATGACAGGTACACTTTAATTGTATAGATTGATAGTTTCCTGCAAGTAGGTTTTTCTTTGCCCCTCCCCCCCCCCCTCACCCGGTGGTGTCACTGGCTATAAATAAGACAGTTGCCATCCTCTGTATTTCTGTTCGTAGTCTCGGATGATTCAACAAGCGATGTAATCAATAGGCCGGGCCCCGGGCCCCGACAGTGACTTACACACAGACTCCGCTCTGCCGGCAGCTCCTGAACTCGTCCGTATTGATTGTTCTGTTACACGGCCATTCCCTTCCATTGACTCAGGCCGGCCCAGGAAACACACGTTGGCTCCGCCATGGCGACCATCAAGAGCAGCATGCGCACAGTGTGCAGAGAGTTCCTGTATCAGGGCGCAGTAGGCGGATCATGTAAAGCACTGACCTTCCTTCAGGTATTTTTAAAGGAGCTGTGCAGGTATACAGATGGCAATAAAGACTTGAAAGGGGTTCTAACCCTTCCCCCACTCTATCCGCAACCCTTTCCCTGCCAGAGCCGGTTTTTGCGCTTTATTGCACACGTTTTAAAAAATCATTTTAGGCCTGAAGAGGATATAAACCCCCCAAAAACATGATCTATTTTCTGAGAGCAGACACCCGAGAGTAGGGCTTGAAATTTCCACTCGCCCGCTCGCCAAATGCGAGAGGAAATTCCTTTGTGGCGAGCACAGATGGAGTGGGTGGCTTGAAATGCGATCCCAGGAACCGGAGATCGATTTGCATTCCACTTGCACTCCAAGCCTCGTTGTAAAGCCGACTGTTGGGTCCGTACAATGTATGGACCTGAAACCCCCCCACATTGTTGGGTCCGTACAATGTATGGACCTGAAACCCCCCCCACACTGTTGTGTCCGTACAATGTATGGACCTGAAACCCCCCCACATGTGTTGGGTCCGTACGATGTATGGACCTGAAACCCCCCCCACACTGTTGTGTCCATACGATGTATGGACCTGAAACCCCCCCCCCCCACACTGTTGTGTGTCCATACGATGTATGGACCTGAAACCCCCCCACACTGTTGGGTCCGTACGATGTATGGACCTGAAACCCCCCCACACTGTTGGGTCCGTACGATGTATGGACCTGAAACCCCCCCCCCACACTGTTGGGTCCGTACGATGTATGGACCTGAAACCCCCCCCACACTGTTGTGTCCATACGATGTATGGACCTGAAAACCCCCCCACACTGTTGTGTCCATACGATGTATGGACCTGAAACCCCCCCACACTGTTGTGTCCATACGATGTATGGACCTGAAACCCCCCCACACTGTTGTGTCCATACGATGTATGGACCTGAAACCCCCCCACACTGTTGTGTCCATACGATGTATGGACCTGAAACCCCCCCACACTGTTGGGTCCGTACGATGTATGGACCTGAAACCCCCCCCACACTGTTGGGTCCGTACGATGTATGGACCTGAAAACCCCCCCCACACTGTTGGGTCCATACGATGTATGGACCTGAAACCCCCCCCACACTGTTGGGTCCGTACGATGTATGGACCTGAAACCCCCCCCCACACTGTTGGGTCCATACGATGTATGGACCTGAAACCCCCCCCACACTGTTGGGTCCGTACGACGATGTATGGACCTGAAACCCCCCCCACACTGTTGTGTCCATACGATGTATGGACCTGAACCCCCCCCCCCCCCCACACTGTTGTGGGTCCGTACGATGTATGGACCTGAAACCCCCCCCACACTGTTGGGTCCGTACGATGTATGGACCTGAAACCCCCCCACACTGTTGTGTCCATACGATGTATGGACCTGAAACCCCCCCCCCCCACACTGTTGGGTCCGTACGATGTATGGACCTGAAACCCCCCCACACTGTTGGGTCCGTACGATGTATGGACCTGAAACCCCCCCCCACACTGTTGGGTCCATACGATGTATGGACCTGAAACCCCCCCACACTGTTGGCCGTACGATGTATGGACCTGAAACCCCCCCCACACTGTTGTGTCCATACGATGTATGGACCTGAAACCACCCCCCCCACACTGTTGTGTCCGTACGATGTATGGACCTGAAACCCCCCCCCCCCACACACTGTTGTGTCCGTACGATGTATGGACCTGAAACCCCCCCCACACTGTTGTGTCCCGTACGATGTATGGACCTGACCTGAAACCCCCCCACACTGTTGGGTCCGTACGATGTATGGACCTGAAACCCCCCCCACTGTTGTGTCCGTACGATGTATGGACCTGA